AAAAAAAAAAAAAAAAAAAAAAAAAAAAAAAAAAAAAAAAAAAAAAAAAAAAAAAAAAAAAAAAAAAAAAAAAAAAAAAAAAAAAAAAAAAAAAAAAAAAAAAAAAAAAAAAAAAAAAAAAAAAAAAAAAAAAAAAAAAAAAAAAAAAAAAAAAAAAAAAAAAAAAAAAAAAAAAAAAAAAAAAAAAAAAAAAAAAAAAAAAAAAAAAAAAAAAAAAAAAAAAAAAAAAAAAAAAAAAAAAAAAAAAAAAAAAAAAAAAAAAAAAAAAAAAAAAAAAAAAAAAAAAAAAAAAAAAAAAAAAAAAAAAAAAAAAAAAAAAAAAAAAAAAAAAAAAAAAAAAAAAAAAAAAAAAAAAAAAAAAAAAAAAAAAAAAAAAAAAAAAAAAAAAAAAAAAAAAAAAAAAAAAAAAAAAAAAAAAAAAAAAAAAAAAAAAAAAAAAAAAAAAAAAAAAAAAAAAAAAAAAAAAAAAAAAAAAAAAAAAAAAAAAAAAAAAAAAAAAAAAAAAAAAAAAAAAAAAAAAAAAAAAAAAAAAAAAAAAAAAAAAAAAAAAAAAAAAAAAAAAAAAAAAAAAAAAAAAAAAAAAAAAAAAAAAAAAAAAAAAAAAAAAAAAAAAAAAAAAAAAAAAAAAAAAAAAAAAAAAAAAAAAAAAAAAAAAAAAAAAAAAAAAAAAAAAAAAAAAAAAAAAAAAAAAAAAAAAAAAAAAACACACACACACACATAAATACAAACGTCTCATGCACATATGAAATTATTATATGAAAAGACTCTATCCCGTGACAAAATTTTAACAGAGATAGCACTATGTCTTACAGTTGGTCTAGATTATGAGGTGTTACTTAAAAAAGTGTGTATTTTCGCAATGTTATTGAAAATTCAACATCTTCGACCATTTCCTAGAGAATAGCAGTTTCCATCGGACTTTTTCGTCGTGTTACTTCGAGATTTCATTGAAATGTTTCAAAGTGAAACTTTTTTGCTTCCTCGTAGAGGGAGCTCTGTGATAGGCTCGAAAACGAGATTTTGAACCAGACCTCGTAGGATAATTTGGTTTATATATTTGGAAACTACATTGAATTACCAACAAATGTCTGTATGAGTTTTTTTTTCTCGGCCTTTTGGCTAACATAGAAGTGTAATACCGATGCCTTTTGTTAACATTATATTTTAAGAGGAAGCTCTTTGCCAATAAATTGGCAGCGGTTTTTAGCGTGCGATGGGCATAACTAGTCAGCAATAGGAGCACAAAAATGTATTTTCACTTTTTTTATTCATGAGTCATACCAGTAATTGTACAATAAAAAAGTTCGAGCTTTTACATAAATCAATTTTGATTCAAAAAACTCGTTCTGTTTGTACGTAACCGTAGGTACGTAAGTCTTACAAAAATAATGAAGTCCTTAAGGGCCAGGCATACCCACTCAGTCGGTATTCAGTACCGAATTATTTTGTCCTTATTTTTCTCAATGAATAATCAATCAATCATCTTGAAACTTTGTAATTACGTTCGGAAGATTCATACGATTATGCCTGTTCTCTTTTTTTTATGCAATTATCCAAACTTTCGAGTAAATTAAATTTATTGTTCTATTTCGATTTTCATAAACTCTATTAACAAAATATACCAAAAAAGTTAATTTACGTAAGCTTATGAGACAATTCCGAGAAAACGAGACTACAGACACAGTTGTATCAACTTTTTAAACCTAAATACAAAGTTTCAAGATAATTGATTCATTTTTTATTGAGAAAAATGAGGACAAATAATTTGATATTAAATACCGACTGAGGGTGTACTCCTGTGCCATAGGTTTTCTTCAATTCGTTCCTTCAATGCAAACCACATACTCGTCAAAACATTGTTCGTTAGATTATTAATGATTATATGATAGACAAATGGCAAATTCATTTCCCACTCCCATAAAAATCTTCTCGATAATATCTGGAACGGATATGAAGCGTAAGACATAATTGTCTCTATTACTGTCACTTGCGAATTGCTTGCTATTGTTACGAAATGTTTTTTCGTCAAACCCAACTTGGTGATATATTCCGCGACAATCAGGGCGTCGCTCAGGCACAGCCGGTAACCTTTTTTCTCTATACACTCAACAACTTCCAACGCTTGGACCGCACCATGCAATTTGTTATCAAACGACGACACTCCTCTAGATCCCCTCGCGAGGTAGCTCTTGGTGGGGAAAACGAAGTTGGACAGATTAGCGCCCTCATTCAAGAGTTGGTCGACCACATCCGGCAAATGATTCGCCACGGCCAATTGTAGAGGCGTCGATCCTTCCGCGTTCGCTACGTCTAGAACGGTGTCGTCTCTTTTCAGCAACAGTTCAGCTGACTTGTAGTTTCTCTGGTCGACTCCCTCGATCTCCTGGAGAGCCAAGTGCAGCGGCGAATCTCCGGTTCGTGGCACGACCTGATTGGGATCCTGGCCGAGCTCGAGGAAACGCTCGACCTCGTCACGCAAGTTGAATCGACAGGCCACGTGGAAGTGCGTGTATCCGTGGCTGTCGACGTAATTCAAGTCGCGTCTGTCGTATATTTGGAAGAGATCGCGGACAGCGTCGCACATTATGGAGCTGGGATCGATTCGGTGCAACGCGGTGGTGCGACGCAACTCAGGCCTGCCTTCGCGATCTAACCAGGGCACGTGTTTGTACTGGCTGCGAGCCACGAATCTGATGAGCAACCTTCCTCGATAATTGTATTGAGTTTTCTCTCTGTTCCTCACGGCCTCCTGGAGAAGCCAGTCGATCTCTACGCCTCGAAAAATTACCCGGAGATCCGGAAGTTGGTCATTCCAATCAACGAGCAATTCCGTAAAATCGCGATAGAATGACCTCCTCTGTTTCTTGAGCTTCCAGTTGATCATCGCACGCATACTGCGCAATCTTTCCAATTTGTCTTTTTTCACGTGGGTGCCGAAGCCGTCTTTGACAAAACAAAAGCTGCAGGTGTGGCTCTCATATATGCGGCGCGCTAGATTACAGCAGGGTAGGTAGCGCGTCCACGATCTGCGCTCTCGAATACAGTCGTCGCGAGTAAAGTTCATGATTCTAATACGTGTGCTCGTTCAAAGAGTACTACGTGTTCTGAATGGAAAGAAACTCGTTATTTAGACTTCCTTTAGACTGTCAACGTCTCGAGATTACTGGAGCCAATTTACTGAGCAGTAATGTAAACATATTACACAGCGCGAACCGAGAGGTTTTGAATTAATTTACGGTTAAACATTATTTTACTACCGAATACGTCTTATTCTGATTATTACGTTTTATCGTAGGTCTGTCATTCGGTAGAGTATTAAGAAAAGTGCCACTGCTAAGCAATCTTTCATTAGCCGTTTACGCAATTCGAAATGCATTAATTTAAACTATTCCAAGAGGCACATAACGTGTACACTTACTGTAATGATCTACTGGGAACCCCACAGATAGAATTATGAAATCTAACTTTTGTGTTTTATTACATAAAACAAGACCTTTAAGAATCACTAAGTATAAATCGATCATGCTTTAAATCATTGTTGAAAGCAAAATAAAAATTGAAACAAACATAAAAATTGATATGAAAAATTAATTTGCAGACATAAAAAATTTTCATCACTTTTCTCGGTGGTACTTGAACAAAATGAACTTTTAAAACTACGTTTAAATTAACAAATTGAATATTTCTAATTTAGTAAACATTGTTTTTACACGAGTGTACACTAGTTCTTGGTAGAAGTATGTATGCTCAGTCGGTATTTAAAGCAAACTATTTTGTCCTTATTTTTCCAGAAGAATAGAGTATCAATTATCTTGAAACTTCGAAATAATGCTCATAAAATTGTCACAATAATGCCTGTGATCTTATTTTCACTTTTTATAAATCAAACAGCAAATTAACAATTTTTTTGTGCTACCCCAACCTAAAGTAACATTTTACTCCCGCTGCGCAAAACCAAAATGTTACTTTGGGCTGGGGGATTCACAAAAAATTGTATTTGCACCTATGTAGCGAAAAAAGAAAGTCTCAAAGCACGTAATTATCAACCTCGGCTTCGCCTCGGATGATAAATTACACGTGCTCTGACACTTTTCAGTTCTTCACTCCCTAGGTGCAAAATATACTATTTTAGATTATTGGTTTTTAATTATTTTACGTATCTTAAAGTACTGCGTATAAACAATAGTAAGCATTGTAATCGATGTTTTTATGTACAATTATTGTATTTAGGATAACAGAATACCAATTCAATGCAAAAAATAATTTTTTGAGTGCTGGTTCTAATTGCCGGTCAGAAAAGGTTTTTGAATGAAATGTTGAAAACATTTTTTGGTTTCAATAAAATTATGAAATGGTTTCTACTACAGTTGTTTCGGTAAATTTATTGTTATTATCGATCTCATTTCTCTTAGGAAAAATAATTAGTATTCAAGCAAGTTAATCAAAATCTTTCAATAGTGTTTATTTGATAAGTTCAGTGTATCATCACGTAAAATTCATCAAAAATCCAGTACAGTCGGTTAAACGCTTGCCCCATTCACAGCTTCAAACAAAAATTGGAAAAAATTCTCGTCTGATCGTTGAATGAAGAGCTAAGAACTAAGTAGTCAAAAAATGAACAAAGAGTTGTAATTAGTTGTACGCGAAATCTGACGCAATCGTTTTGACATAATTTTTATAAAAATTTCTGAAAAATATATGCATGAATATTTATTCATATTTACAATTGTCAATTATCATTTCCTCTCGAAATTGTGGCATGTCTAATCTTTCCGACTTTCATGAACTGTCCTTTGATGAACAAGTAACTGTGCTTCTTCTTCAAATTTACTTTCTCACTTTTCGCATGCGTAAACTTTGCGACCTTCATGGGCTCCCTTTGGTGCCATATTAAAGTCGATTTTTTTCCAAATGCTTTTTCGCAATCATCGCAAGGGTAATCTTTGCGATTGTCGTGTACTGTCTTTTGGTGCCTTAACAAGTCTCTTTTTAATACAAATTTCTTCACACACCCGTCGCATACAAAATCTTTCTAACCTTCATGAACATTTTTTTGGTGCTTTAACAAATTTGATCTTTGTCCAAATGTCTGCTCGCACTTATCGCATGCGAAATCTTTCCTACCTTCGTGGACTATCTTTTGGTGTAAGAACAAACCACCATTTTGTGAAAATTTTTTCTCACACTTGTCGCATTTATAATCTTTGCGACCTTCATGAACTGTTTTTTTGTGCACAAGCAAAGTTGATTTGAATCCGAATTCTTTTCTACACTTGTCGCATACGAAATCTTTGCGACCTTCGTGAATTATTTTTTGGTGTTTATACAAATCTGATTTATATCCAAATTTCTTTTCGCACTTGTCACATGTGAAATCTTTGCGACCTTCGTGTACTGCCTTTTGGTGAATAAGCAAAGTCTGTTTATATCCAAATTTCTTCTCGCACTTGTCGCACGAGTAATCTTTGCGACCGTAGTGGACTGTTTTTTGGTGTAAGAACAAAGCTGATTTACATCCAAATTTCCTTTCGCATTTGGTGCATGCGAAGTCTTTGCGACCTTCATGAACTGTTCTTTTATGTTTGGTAAAAGTACATAATTGTCCGAATTTCTTTTGGCACTTGTCACATGCGTAATCTTTGCGACCCTCGTGTACTATTTTTTGGTGCTTTAACAAATCCGATTTTTGTCCGAATTTCTTCTTGCATTTGTCACATGCGTAACCTTTGTGTTCTTCGTGGACTGTATTTTGGTGACCCAGCAAAGAATGTTTATATCCGAATTTCTTCTCGCACTTGTCGCATGGAAAATCTTTGCGACCTTCATGGACTGTTTTTTGGTGTTGAATCATAATCCATCTTTGTCCGAATTTCTTCTCGCATTTGTCGCACGGGTAATCTTTGCGACCATCGTGGACCATCCTTCGGTGGGTGAGAAAATTACTTTTTAGTCCGAATTTCTTCTCGCATTTGTCACATGCGAAATCTTTGCGACCTTCGTGAACTGTTTTTTGGTGGTCCAACAAATATTGTTTTTGTCCAAATTTTTTCTCGCATTTGTCACATGCAAAATCTTTGCGACCTTCGTGAACTGTTTTTTGGTGCTCCAACAAATATTTTTTTTTTCCAAATTTCTTCTCGCACTTGTCGCATGCGAAATCTTTGCAATCCTCGTGCAATGTCTTTATGTGTTTGAGCAAACTATTATTAGTATCAAATCTTTGCACGCATATTTCACATAAGTAATTCTTAAAAACTTCGTGAAATATTTTTTTGTGCTGGAGTAAAGTTAATTTTTTTTCGAATTTCTCCTCGCACTTGTCACATGCAAAATCTTTGCGAATTTTGTGGACTTTTTGTAAGTGGAAGAGCATCCTTGATTTTTTCACAAATTTCTCCTCACACTTGTCGCATGCGAAATTTTGGCGACTCGCGTGTACTGTATTTATGTGAAAGAGCAATCTACGTTTATTACCAAATCTCTTCGCGCACTTTTCACATAAGTAATCTTTGAAGACTTCGTGGAATATTTTGTTGTGCTTGACTAAAGTTGGTTTATTTTCAAATTTTTTCTTGCACTTGTTACACGTGAAATCTTTGCGATCTTTATGTACTAATTTTTGGTGCGTAAGCAAAGTCGATTTGTTCAAAAATTTCTTCTCGCAATGGTCGCATGTGAAATCTTTGCGGCTTTTATGTACCGACATTTGGTGTCTACTCAAATGACTTCGGAACTCAAATTTCTTTTCGCACTTGTCACATGCGAAAATTTTTTGTTCTTTGTGAGTTGTATCTCGGTGTGTTAACATGTTTGATTTTAGAGTTAATACCTCCTGACGAATATCACTAATGAGTTGTTTATCATCTGAATCAACAATGTCATGTTCACTTGAGTTATCATTGGAGCCAACTTCCACGGATTTCTTCTCAATTTTATCCATTTTGGTTCCTAAATTGAACGATGAATCTCTCTATTTAGTGTAACAGAAAATTTAATCAGTAAAATTCTTTTGGTATTATGGCGTGTTTCATCGGTCAAGACAACATTCAAACTAATTTATTTCCCATATAAACATGATCAGTATATTAAGGGATTATGTCGATATCGTTTATGATAAAAATTATTTAAAATTGAGTTACCGATTATTTGTTGTTTATACATTGTTTTTACGACATTTGAAACAATTTAATACTTTATTTTTTCTGTCATTTAAAACTAAATTGTTTCAAATACCTTCAGTGTCTGTCATGAAAGTAGGCGTTGATATGAGAGTCTGATTTTTCTTTTCTTAATTTTTCAATACACAAGTCAATCAATTCTTACATTGTTATTTAATTTACCGCGGATTTTGGACTATCATAAGACGGTTGAAAATTTGAAAAAAACTTCGAAGTCAACAAAATTCATAAATATATTTTTGATTAAGGATTTTCTTTTCCCCTTTTTACGGACTTTTTCTAAAATTAACAATTAAAGTTTTTTTGCTTCCTCCATAGAAGAAGCTATGTGACGAGTTTGAATATGAGTTTTTGAACCAGACATCGTAGGACAATTTGGTTTACGTATTTGTAGACTAGATTCAATTACTAACATATGTCTTTATGTGCGTGTGTGTGTGTGTGTGTGTGTGTGTGTGTGGATTTTTACAGTGATATTGAAGATAAAAATTTAACAACTCAGAACATTTCCTGGAGTATAGTAGTTTTTATCAGATATTTTCGTAAAATATTTGTCTTGCTTTTTTTGCGTACTAACGAATTTGCAAGTTTGGAGATTTCATTGAAAGCTTTCGAAGTGAAATTTTTTTTAGCGTGCGATAGGTATGGCTAGTCAGTAATAAGAGCAAAAAACATTTATTTACTCTTTTTTTATTCTTGAGTCATGACATTTATTGTACAATAAATAGATCGAGCTTTTACATAAATCAATTTTGATTCAAAACTAGTTTGTCTTTACTCGTTATGGATGTACGTAACTATACGTACGTAAGTCTTAAGAAAATAATGCAAGCCATGAGTTTTGTTGGATTCGTCTCTTTAACGTCAAGCACATACTCATCAAATCATTGCTCGTTAGATAATTTAGAATTGCACAACAGCAGGGAAGTGGCAAATCGTTGCACATCAGCATTATACATTCAATTCCCCAGTCCCAAGAAAATCTTCTCGATAATATCTCGAACAGATGTAAAGCGCAAGATTTCCTTTCGGTGAGGTTCCAATATCTCTGCGTGTTCACGAACCTCAAGTAATCCACGTACGTGATGCGTCGCGCCGCCTCGTCGAGTGGCAAATGAATCAGTTCGTGGAGCGACAGACCCGGAATTATCTGTATTATTCGTGCTCTTCTTGCGAAAACTTCGTCGTCGTTCCAATTCTGTCTTCGATCCCTTGTTACCTCGAACAATCTCAAATCGGTGATGAATTCCATGACCGTCAGGGCGTCGCTCAAGCACAGTTGGTAACCTCTGCTCTCAAGACGCCGGACAACTTCAATCGCTTTTATCGCACTATCCAATCGGTCATCAAACGACGACGCTCCTCTCTTTCCCCTGGCGAAGTAGCTCTCGGTGGGGAAAACGAAGTTGGACAGATCGGCGCCAAAATCCAAGACTTGGTCGACCATCCACGGATTGAGATTCGCCACGGCCCATTGAAGCGGCGTCCGGCCCATCCCGTCCGGGTCATCGAGCTTTACCGTCCGACGGTTCTTGAGAAACGCCGTTGCCTTGGACCTTTCGTTGTTCTTAAAAATGATCTGTATAGGCGTCGATCCCTCGGCGTTCGCTACGTCTGGGTCGGTGTCGCCTCTTCTCAGCAATAGTACACCTGACTCGAAGTTTCTCTGTACGAATTCCGAGAAAGCCAAGTGCAGCGGCGAATCTCCGGTTCGTGGCACGACCTGATTGGGATCCTGGCCGAGCTCGAGGAAACGCTCGACCTCGTCACGCAAGTTGAATCGACAGGCCACGTGGAAGTGCGTGTATCCGTGGCTGTCGACGTAATTCAAGTCGCGTCTGTCGTATATTCGGAAGAGGTCGGCGACAGCGTTGCTCATTATGCAGCTGGGATCGACTCGGTGCAACGCGGTGGTGCGACGCAACTCAGGCCTGCCTTCGCGATCTAACCAGGGCACGTGTTTGTACTGGCTGCGAGCCACGAATCTAATGAACAGCCTTCCTCGATAATTGCAGTAAGTCTTCTCTCTGTTCCTCACGGCCTCCTGGAGAAGCCAGTCGATCTCTACGCCTCGAAAAATTGCCCTGAGATCGGGAAGCTGGCCCAACCAACCAACGAGCAATTCCGTAAAATCGCGATAGAATGACCTCCTCTGTTTCTTGAGCTTCCAGTTGATCTTCTCACGCATACTGCGCAATCTTTCCAATTTGTCTTGTTCCACGTTAGCGTGGGTACCGAAGCCGTCTCTGTCTTCGTCAAAATAAAAGCATTTATCGCTGATCGCCCACGGTAGGCTCGCCCACGGTATGCGCACTCGAATACAGTCGTTCATGATTCTAATACGTGTGCTCGTTCAGAGAGTTCAGCGTGTACTGAATGGAACGGAACTCGCTATTTGGCGCCTTCCTCTCGCCTGTCAACGTCTCGAGATGACTAGAGCCAATTTACTGAGCAATAACGTAAACATATCACACAGCGCGAACCGAGAGATTTTGAATTAACTTACGGTTAGGCATTATTTTACGGACGAATACGTCTTTTGCTGATTTTGACGTTTTATTATAGGTCTGTCATCAGTGGCGTATTAGAAAAAGTGCCGTCCCCGCGTAAACTTTCATTTGCGGTTCACGCCATTCGAAATTCATTAATATAAGATTTTGGAATTAGCAACAGTACTAAGTAAAGGATAAAATAATTGCGAGGGCTGTTACTAATTCTGAAGAAAATGTAGAAAACATTTTTTGTTTCAATTAAATTATTAAATCGTTGCTACTTTAAGGTTTTTCGGTAAAAACTTATTCTTATTATCGTTCGCATTTCTTTGCAGAGAAATAATCAGTATTTTAGCAAGCTCATCAAATTCTTTCAATAGCACATATTTAATAAATACAGAGTATCATCGCGTAAGGTTCATCAAAAATCCAGTAAAAAACCAAGCGCTCACCCCATTAACAGCTCCAAACAATACTTGGAAAAAAGTCTCGATTAATCGTTGCATGGAAGACTGCTGGAAGCGAATGTCTATAAACTAAACAGAGAGTAGTAAATAGTTGTACGCAAAATCTAGTTCAAAAATAAATTAGTACAAGGACAGTGAACGAAGGTGTAATGATAATTTATATCAGGTAGAAATCAATTTTTTCACCCCTTTTTTTATTGAAATTTCCGTTGAATATATATGCATGAATATCTATTCATATTTACAACTGTCAATCATCACTTCTTCTGGAAATTGTGACATACCTAACTTTTTCGACCTGCACAGATTGTCTTTTGGTGCTGAAGCATAATCCATTTTTATCGAAATTTCTTCTCACACTTATCACATGTGCAATCTTTGCGACTATCAAATTTCTTCTCACATTTTTCGCAAGTGTAATCTTCGCGATTATCGTGAACTGTCTTTTGGTGCCTAAGCAAGTCCCTTTTTAATACAAATTTCTTCCCACACCCGTCGCAAAAAAATTTTTCTGACCTTCATGAACATTTTTTTGGTGCTTTATCAAATTTTATCTCTGTCCAAATGTCTGTTCGCACTTGTCACATGGGTAATCTCTTCGACCTTCATGGACTGTCTTTTGGTGGGAGAGCAAACTCGGTTTTTGTGTAAATTTTTTCTCGCACTTGTTGCATACGAAATCTTTGCGACCTTCGTGGACTGTCCTTTGGTGCTTCAACAAATTGGATTTACTTCCAAATTTACTTTCGCATTTATCGCATATGAAATCTTTGCGACCTTCGTGTACTGTTTTTTTGTGCACAAGCAAAGTTGATTTGAATCCGAATTCTTTTCTACACTTGTCGCATACGAAATCTTTGCGACCTTCGTGGACTGTTCTTTGGTGTTTGGTCAAAGTGCCTCGTTCCCCAAATTTCTTCTCGCATTTGTCGCATCCGTAATCTTTGCGACCTTCGTGGACTATTTTTTGGTGTTTCAACAAATCTGATTTACTTCCAGATTTCTGCTCGCACTTGTCACATGCGAAATCTTTGCAACCTTCGTGGACTGTTTTTTGGTGCTGGAACAAATCTTTTTTATATCCGAATTTTTTTTCGCACTTGTCACAGGCGAAATCTTTGCGACCTTCGTGGACTATTTTTTGGTGCCCTAACAAATCTTTTTTATGTCCGAATTTCTTTTCGCACTTGTCGCATGGGAAATTTTTGAGACCATCATGTACTGTTTTTAGGTGGGTTAGCAAATTCCCTCTTTGTCCAAATTCCTTCTCGCATTTGTCACAGGCGAAATCTTTGCGACCTTCGTGGATTATTTTTTGGTGCCCTAACAAATCCCTTTTTCGTGCGAATTCCTTCTCGCATTTGTCGCATGCGTACTCTTTATGGCCTTCGTGGACTGTTCTTCGGTGAATGAACAAGTTCGATTTTTTTCCAAATTTTTTCTCGCATTTTTCACATGCAAAATCTTTGCGACCTTGGTGAACTGTTTTTTGGTGCTCCAACAAATTTTTTTTTTTTCCAAATTTCTTCTCGCATTTGTCGCATGCATAATCTTTATTACGACCCTCATGGGCTGTTGTCATGTGCAAGACTAAATTTCGCTTATTTGCAAATTCCTTATCACAGTTGTTACATGAGTAATCTTTAAAGACTTTGACGGCGAAATCTTTTTGACCCTCGTGCACTGTCTTTATGTGCTTGATCAAACTGTGTTTAGTTTCAAATCTCTTCGCACACTTTTCACATAAGTAATCTCGGAATACTTCGTGGAAAATTTTTTTGTGCTTGAGTAAAGTTGATTTAT